TCACTACTACACATAATTAATGTAAGAGTAAAGTATAATGGACCACAATAAGCAGCCATTTTCCTTCTATCAACATTGCATTAGAAATAATAATTAGATAAATTAAAGTCATTGTTGCTTTTTTTTAGAATAAAAGTAGTTGCTACTTTTTAGAATTTCAATTCAAATTATTATACATTATTATTACGAATTTTATGATGATTGATTATTATTAACATCACTATCATGTTTTACTTTTAAATTTTAAAATTTTTTGTTAACGTATGGAAATTAATATGTCGGCATTATTTTATTTTGTTTAAAAATAATGTCAACTTTAGCCTAAATTTTAAATATATAAACCCCCCCGCCCCAAAAAAAAATAAAAATAAATCTATTGTCTTGTCTGTAGTTAAGAAACCTCTAGCCACGTGGTCAAATCAATGTTAACCTGATTTTGTTTTATTCTCATGCCACGAATCTTTATTTCTAAAATCTATATGTATTTTAATATTTAATTTAATAATATATATTCAACTGCTTAAAATTTTAAATTCAATTTTTTAAAAATAAATAAAAAAACAAATTATACAATTAATTCTTACAATACTAACAACATTATTTATTATGTTAGGACAAAATTTCTCAATTTTTTTTGACCAAATTAAGTTCAATATCACATTCAATTACATAATTTTTCTTGATCTTGTAATTGTATATACATATGACCATTTCACCCAGACAATGGGCCTTTATATTAATTATAACTTTTTGTCAATGGGCACATGTCCAATGTTTCTAACTCCAAAGGGTCGCCTTCATCCTCACCATGTATCTGTTATGTGTAATATAAAATTAATTTTTATCTTCTGAAATGATGAAATCACAGTAAGTAATCTCCGCCACTTATCAACAATATTAATCTCCAAATTAACAACATATTAATTCTTGTAAATGTGGATCGATCTCTTTGGTTAGGTTTAATGCATATTACAAAAATATATGGTTGGATATTTACCATCCACTATATTATATAATTAAATATTAACCAAGTGGTTAATTATTTCAGTCCGTAAAAGTCAAATTTGTCGGTCCAATCATGTGTTAACGATACAAAATTTTCTCAATTCATCATTGCAGTATTTGTCTGCTTTGCGTGATTTTAACAAGCATTAACGATTTTGAAAAGTAAATATTTTTAAGTTTATTATTGCATAAATAATAAAAAAAACACACAAATATGATAGATTAATTATGTATAATTTACATTTTTCATATTAAAGTCAATATAAATAAAAAAATTAACAATTATCAGAATTTTTTTTTATAAATAATCACGTCGTAATATAAAATATTAAAAAATTATATATAATAAAATTTAAATTTTAAATATATTAAATATTATATTTTAAGAATAATTTATGGATTAACTTAATTAAATATCATAAAAACATCATTTTTACACCTTAATCTCGCGTCCAAACAAGGACGGACAGTAGTTACAGTATGAGGGGCGCCTTGGCCACCAAAATTTTTAAATCTCCTCGTGTGCGTGTCTATATATATATATATATAATTAAATCCTCTCAAACTAAAATTATTAATGTTAATTTTTATATTATTTCATAACTTAATTTTGAAAACCAATAAGTTTGATACAAAAGTAAAATTATAAATATTTAAATTTAACAAAAGCCAAATTAATTTTTTAACTTCTTTAATAAGAATTCAAATCTCCAATCAAGTATCAATTTTTTTTTAATTTTCTTTTAATTGATTACAATTTATTCTTTTCATATAATTTTTCACCTTTAATTTTACTTTAGATCTTTTTCTCTTTCTACAATGCAATTTTTTTTTAATACAAAAGTAGATTAGAACCACTATATAAATGGTTGAAAAAACAACTTAGTTTCTAATTTCAAAGTATCAATGTTATTCTTTTAATGATATATTTTATTTTTTAATTTTGATAAAAAATATATATTGTTTAACAACTGATTTATTTACACTTTTTGTAAAAAAAAAAAGCTGTTTATAATTTTAAATAAAATTATTTATTTGATTTATTATATTTTTTATGAATTGATTTACAAATTGATAAAATTTATAATTTTGAAAACTTATATATTTTGTTAGTATTTTGCTTATATATGTAACTAGTATAATAAGATACATTCCATGAAAAAAATTAGAATCTTGTATAATATTAGTTGGCTTGGCTGTCTCTCTCTCACTCTCTCTCTCTCTCTCTATATATATATATATGTATATATAGATAGATATATCATTTGATGATGCATGGAGAAGTTTTCACTCATCATACAAGTTAGTGGTCACTGTCCTCTGCTACATTTTATGCACGTCCCAAACCATGTTTATATTTTTGAGTTGGTCAATCTATATGATGATGTAATCTTCCAAATTAAAGAGAGCTCTCTTTTTCCATCACTCTCTCCTCCCTCTCTTTTTCATTTTAATATTGTGATAGAGTTTGGATTGAATATGAACTTTAATTTTTCAACTAGTATATTCGATTAAGTCCAAATATTCATTTTAGCCTGTATCAAAGTTTATGTATTAATTACAAGGTTGGATAACCAATGATGCTTCTAACTTTTTATTAGCATAGAGATGATCACTGACTGACTATTATGTTATAAGGATAAAATTTTTATATTTCACAAGTGATGTTAGAATCTTATTATACATATCTTTTTATTTTTTATATTAATTTTATAATTATTTTAAATATATTTAATAAAATATATGATAATTCTTTAATTTCGTTCGTATAATTTAAAAACTTCATGGAAAATTATATTTAAGATCAATTTTCATTAGAAAATTTTGGATTAATTTAACTATTTGTTAGGTCAAAAAAAAAAAAAAAAAAGAAAAAGGAAAAGGAAACGTTTCACCCATCTCTTTTTCAATCTTGTCAAAATTTCAACAGGAATCACAACTCACAAGTCGCCGCATAAATTAGGACTTGGACAAGTATAAGATTTCAAAAGAATTAATGCGTGAGGAAGAAATAAAAAGGATTTCTTCTTCTTTTTAATACGTGGATAATGGCTTTGATCAAATCATATGACAATATCATATTATTATTTCTAGTAAATATACCAAAAGGTCAAAGGGTGGGAGTATAATAACAATATAACCTACCTCACATATTTAACATTGCGTGCCAATTTTGAGAAAATTAATTCATGTTTTTAAATATTGTTTGGGTTTCAATTGACAAAGAAATTAAAAAAAAAATTCAATTATTGTTATTTGTTTCATATGGCATTGTCTTTCACTTGGTAATTGAAGCCAATAAAAAAACCATGTAACTTCTAAAATTGAACTATGAATTTTGCAATGAAAGTTCAAAAGAATTAGCTTACAATAAAATATTAACTAAGGAAGTTACCATCATATACAAAATTTTAGAAAAATAAAATAAATAAGAAATTGATTGAGATAAGTATGAGGCAAATTCAAACTATCATTTAATTTTTATAATATAAGATAACATTTGATATCATTTTTAATATTATAATCGTGATTTGATTATTATAGTAATCATATCATCAAGATTTGATCACTATTAATTTTAAATTATTATATACGGTGTAATATTATAAATCATTATTATTTAAATCATTATATTTGATATTATATATATATATATAAATGAATGTAAAGCATCCAAAATTATTTTATTATTAATAATAAGATATTTGATGAAAGCAACAAATTCAATTAATATTTAATGAATAATCTATAAAATAATAATTTATTATTTTATAAAAAATTATAAGGTATGAACCAATTCTAATGAGTATAATTCAAAGTTATTAATATGTTGATATCTAATGATCACATAATTATCTTTTATAAAATGATTAAAATATGGATATTTGCGTATAAAAGTAAACAATTTGAAAAGCAACATATTTGGACCTGATACTACTTCAAAGGTAAACTTACCTTAAAACAGTTTTAAAATCACTATGTTTCCATTCTTTTAGATGAGATCCAAGTCATCTTATAAGAAAATAATTTAATAATTCTTAATTATTCAAAATTATTATCACGTAAAATTTTTAAATTATTATTAAACATGATAATTTAATCGTAAGTAAGCCACCATTAATTAAAAACAAAAAAAATCAACGTAGATCAAGTGCTACCTCAAGAAACTTCCTACGGAAAGTAGGGCAATGCTTCTTGATGTCCGAATAACACTTTCTTTTTTATTACTAAATTCATTTGCATCAACATTGATCCTCAAACTATAATATATATATATATATATAATTAAAAAAATTTTATATTGATATAAATCAATCTTTCTCCTATATATAAAATTAATTTATGCACGTTTGACATTTATTAGAATAAAAAATAAAATTGAAAAATTGACTTTTTTATATTGTAATATATATGAAATTTATTTATATTTAATATTATGAAAAATCATATACGTATGTATAAATCTCAGTTATTATTTTTTAAGAAACTCATGTTCTAATTTCAGAAACAAAAGTTTTTTGACAACATGGTTTTAGGTATCCCATATTGTTTCCAATGATATTTTCGTTGGATAAATTTAAAAATATTCTTTCATATTTGTATGATATATTTTAAATTTTATTTGAAAAATATCCGATTATCTGTTATTAATAAACAAATATTTCTTTTACCCATAAAAGCTTATAAGCGTAATTTTTTTTTGAGATTAAAATATTCAAAATTTAATTAAATTAATTCATATTTTTAAAAATAATATTTAAGAGATCTCGAATTTCAACCCAACATCAAAAATCTCTTCATTTATCTTAAATTGCGATCACGTTTTGTTAAAAAATTGAATTAGTTTGTGGGACAGGAAATGCACTAAAGAATTATAAAATCTAACTTTGGACAAATTTGAAATCCGCTTCACTTAGTGTTTATTTATTTGTTTTAAATGTAACCGGTTACCGGTGGCGGGACAACAACAATATATAAAATGTAGAACGTTAAAGCCGTTTAGGAACGTGAAAGCGTGGAAAAGCTAATTTCTCTCTCTCAACTTTGATTCTTCTTTTCGGTTCATATTCTGTTTCTACGATTTGGATTAAGACCAACCTGTAGCAAACATAAAAAGAGTTTTATTCATGGAATCCAACGAATTTGAACATCTATTTCTTCTCTGATCCCCTTCTTACAAGGTCACTCTTTTTCATCGATTCTTATTACCCAAACCTTTCAACTTGTTTTAGCTTCCATTTTTAAGTTTTCAAGCTCCAACTTTTACTTAGAAAGTTTGGGTTTTTAATGGACTGTTCATTTGAAGTTGCTAAAATGGAGATGGGTTTGGAGTTTTATGTTTTTTAATTGTTTGTAGTGAGAGAAAAGCTTGTTTTGTTTGGTGAGAAAAGAAGTGTTTTTTTGTGTTTAATTTCTTCTTTTAGCAAGATGCTGGTTTATTCAAAGTGGCCACCGATCAAACGAAGGGCAGGATTGAGAATAAAACAGGCAGGTCGAGGGTCATATCGTGGAAGCTAGAGGAAGGCTAAATTTTTAGTGTAGTGAGTATTTGGTTTTAGAGTGTTACAAAAATCTGCGTTTTCCTTTTAGTTGAAAATTTTGAAGAAAAATGGCTACTACTGCTTTAAGGCAGTTGTTGAAGAGTTTTTGCACCAATTCACCTTGGAAATATGCTGTGCTTTGGGAGCTTAGGCACCGGAGCCCCATGTAAGTTTCTCCTTTGACTAATCTTTGTTATGGCTGAATTTCAACTTGTTTGAATGGCATGGCTTTATTCTCTTTGAAATACTACTATTTTAGGCGTAAACTGCTGTTATTAGTACAATTTTTAATGGCAAATGATCAATTTCATAGTTCTGTGAGGGTGTTGGTTAACTTGCCTATACAGATTTTCATTACATATACAAGGAAGCTTGAATACCCGATGAACTTAAACAAATAAACTTTTGGTAGGCTTCATAATAGCATTCCTAATTAAAACAAAAAATTAAGCCATGGAGTCTGGACGGTAATTTTTTTTTGTCCTTTTTAAATAGCAAAACCATCTATAGAGGAAAACGATTCAACTTTCCAATGGTTCTATGAGGCGTATACTGATCCTATTTTGTAAATTTACCTGTCAGTTGTTTCTATAACATCATTTGCCATTATTTTGACAAATAGAATAATCTTGCACTTTTTTCTCATATTAAAAGTAGAAGTGAGTCAAAATATTTCGTGTTAACTGGAAAAAAACTTAGACATCTTAGGCTGCAGTGTTGAATGAAGGAAATAAATATGTATTGATCTTATTTTTGTTACATTAACACCCCAACCCCGAAAGACGAAATTTCCCTGTATTGTTTGTTGGCTGTGTGTTTTATAAGTTGCCCGTGTTGATTTCAGGAGTTTGACCCGGGAAGATGGGTATAGTGTTTATCCAATACCAGGAGAATCTGTGGAAAGTATCTCGAGTGATGTTTACTCTAACAGTGAGATTATCCCATCACACTTTGAAACAAGCAACCATGACGGTTGCTACGGACGATACCCAATTGGCCTAGTGGTTTCTCATATGTCACATCTGAAGTACGCATGGGGAGAGGGGTAAAATGTTGATCTCAACTTTTAATGTTACAATTATCGTTCATTTCTTGTAATACAGTAATATTTTTAACATTCTGGATATTAAAGTGCCCATCTTTTATGGCCCTTCTGAAGGGAAGTTTTACTATTAAGCCCCGAGAAATTTATCATTCAGGGCCTCTGTCTCTCATGCTACTATTATCCTAAATTTATTATTTTGCACTTCTCTCTCTTTCTCTCTGTTGCTTGACAAGATTGACCGAGCCAAACTATGCTCTTACAAGTTGGTTCTTTGGTGATTGAAACTACTAGTGACTTTGCATCTCTACATTTATCAGGGTTGTCGGTAGAGTGGCATATACAGGGAAGCATTGCTGGATTTCCTATGATGATACTTTCACTGTTAAAGCTAATTCGAAGTTAGTTCCTGAGGTAAGTTTCTATTAATGATATGTGATACATTTAAGAAGGTTAGATTCTGCAAATGATGGATAACATACACTTCAACTTATAAGTGTTATTTTTCAATTGGTAGTGTCCGGAGGAATGGCTACTTCAGTTCGCGTCAGGAATCAAGGTAATATTATCCTATACTGCACCTTACTAGTAAGTCTAGGTCCATATTTTAGCTACTCCAGGTACGTGCTTCCATGTGCACACTGGTACACACGTTTGCATGTGTTTAATTGATGCAGGCTTGATGGTAAAGTTAGCTGATCCGCTGTAGATTTTTAAAATGGATAATATATATGTTGATTATTTGTGATGCTCCTGCAGACAATTGTGCTGATACCTGTGCTTCCACATGGAGTTCTGCAACTTGGTTCATTGGAGATGGTGTGTATTTGTTCTAAATTTGTCTTATTGGCTACAATAGTATTCTAGTCTGAACAGGTTCTTAGATATGTTGCTGTTAAATTTTAAGTCTTCCTCTATCTCTGTCATTTGTTGTCGCTTATACTATATACAAGAACACCTAGATGGTTTCAAACTCATGATTTCTGTGTGGTAATGAGACCCATCTGAACAGCCAGTGTATTAATTACTGGTGCCTGGATAGGAAATAACTTAGTTTAATAACTTAGTTTCCCACTACAACCACCAATCGACATTCTGTATGCTGCTCCATATTAGATTGTCACTCTATTTTTTTGTATACATGTCTTCATATGAGTATGTGTGATTGTTTGTGCAGCAAATGGTGGGTGATTGCATTGCAGTAATGTAAGTGGTGCTCTTGTCGTATATGTATCTTATGTTTTTCGGTTTGTTTCCCTGTACATCAACAGGTTGCTGAAGATTTGTCGATTCCGGCATACATCAAAGATAGATTTGCCTGCAAGAACATTGACGTCCAGTTACCATCATTGCCAATATCAAGTCTTCTGGAGAAATTAGAAGAGTCTTCAAGTGCATCCATTAGCCTACTGAACTCTGACGATTCAAATGCTGTCGACAGTTTCAAGCCCAATAAGTTGTTAGCTTTAGATCAGATTGTGCCACTGTTAAGTTTTCAAAATGCATTTCAGGTTCCTGTAATAGATCTGCCTGAGATTCTTGAAAGTGAATGTGAAAATAGGATCACTGTTCCACCAGTTAGCCTCAGTGATGTATCATCACTGCCAAGCCAATCTATAAGCTCCGACCAGCTGGCAATGGGGGAGAGTGAATTGTTTCGTTTGTCTTGTCTTAAGGAGGAAATGCAAGCGTATCCTGAATGTAATGCTTACACTGTGGGAGAGTGTGGAGAAATCTTAGATGGAGTTACAAATCCTTATCCTGGAAGAGATTTACTGGAAACACCTTTTGGAGACTATAACATTAATGATGTCAGTTTCTTTAGCTTTCCCAAAGATTGCGAATTGCACAAAGCACTTGGACCAGCTTTTCAAAGACCTAGCAATGAATATTTGTGGGAGTCATCTTTTTTGAGTGAAGATGCATTTAGATATCTCTTTGATGGTGTTGAGCCCTCATTGTCTGCCAAAGGAGGTGATCCAGAGTATCCTTTGCAAGCTGTGGTTGGCCATGTATATGATGGTTCTGTTGGTATTGCTAATAGATCCAATCATGTCATGACATCTACTGGACAACTTCCTGTGTCTTCTCGACCTCAAAGTGTGAAGAGTGATTCAACTCCATTAAGCAGACTTACATCTGCAATTGTTGGTGGGGCCAAAAATAATTCTAGTTGTAAAATTTCAACTTCTTTCCAGAGTACAATAAGCACATTAACTGATAATAAGAATCTGGGAAAAGATGGCTACTACACACAACCCAGAAAGGGACAAAAGCAGTCCAGTGTCAGCAAAAGAAGGGCTAGACCTGGTGATAACCCAAGGCCAAGGCCAAGGGATAGACAGATGATCCAGGATCGGCTTAAGGAGCTTCGACAACTTGTTCCAAATGGTGCTAAGGTCAGTACTTGTTAAGTTTGCATCTGTTTGTGTTTCTGATTTGTCTCTCCCCGTCTTTATTTTTTATGCTTGTCAAAGTAATCAGTTTACTTGTCTGACAAATTCAGTATAGCATTGATGCTCTCTTGGACCAAACCATTAAACACATGCTGTATTTGAAGAGTGTGACCAACCAAGCTGAGAAAGTGAGGCAATGGGTGCATCGTGAGGTATGTGAAGACCATTTTAGTAAGATTTTTATGTAACAGTTGCATCTGGAAGGTTGGAAAGTTGAGAAAATTATCCCACACATTACCAATTCACATGTCCTCAAAGTAACAACAATCATTTTCAAATCAAAAGTCAGGATCATTGGAGCTCAAATGTAGAGTTTGCTTTGACTTCAAGAACCCTGGAGTAAATGTGAAGATTTGCTATGTAGTTAAAATCTTTCATTATTTGAGCTTAAGGTAACGGAAAGTTTAAATTTACAGGTGACTGGTCGCAAGAATATGAGATCATCTGAAACCAAAGATCGTTACCAAATTGGTACAAGCTGGGCCTTTGAGATTGGAGATGAACTGACAATATGCCCCATTGTTGTGGAAGATCTTGCACATCCAGGCCACTTACTCATAGAGGTCTGTTCTGTGGCATAACATGAATATCTCAAGAAAAAAAAAAAAACCATTTTTATATATCTATACTAGTTAATTGCTAAACTACATCCACTGCAGATGCTTTGCAATGAGCATGGTCTGTTTCTAGAGATTGCTCAGGTGATCCGAAGTTTTAATTTAACAATCTTGGAGGGTGTGATGGAGAGCTGTTCAAATAATACATGGGCTCATTTCATTGTCGAGGTATCAGATAGCTTTTGAAGTATGTGTTTTGAGTTTGACCTTATCAGTGCTTATAATTTCACATTTCTGATTCTTTATTACACTGTATTGCAGGCTTCTAGGGGCTTTCACAGACTGGATATCTTCTGGCCTCTAATGCAGCTTTTGCAGCGTCAAAGGAATACTATTTCAAGCAAGATTTAATTCAATAATGAAAAACTCACTCTCCTCTTTTTACACTTATTGAGGAGATTTTCATGAGCAAAATGTATGCATATTTGTCCACACAACTTTGCATTACCAGGCAAAGGAATGGCAAACCTCCTGATTGTCAATGTATCAGTACACGTATTTATTGTTTGTGAACAAATTAATGCAGTTGGCACTACAATCTGCTGTTATAGACGAACTAGCTTCTGAAAGAATGACCACATGCTTATAAGGATTGCAGACAGCAAACTTTATTTACATTCGTACACTAAGAGATGAGTCCATCAAAGAAACATGACCAGTCAGTACATCTCTATTCTACCAAAATTGTTCCTCTTGGATCTTGTCAAGAATTTGGGGCTCAAATTGGTGTTTCTGCTAGCAATAGCGTGTGCCACCAACCACAGGCGATATGTTTTGGTTGGCAACCATCTATAGGAACCTGGGCAGAGATATTACGGTCGATTGTATCATCCAGACCAAGCTGCAAGCAGGCAAACAAAGAGTGAATTTGACATTCATACAGATGAGATATGTCCAGTAGCTAAGTAGAGTGGGTCATTAACATCGTACCTGGCCATACTTATTCCATCCCCAGCTAAGTACTTGGCCATCATCTTGCAAGAAAAACAATAAGCAAATCTTAGGGCGGAAAAGCAGTTGAATTTTATAGTCTTAGAACTATGCTGATCTTTCCTTTTAAGCAAACTACGAAAATGTATATATCTTGTTCTGTGGCTATAGCATAAATGCCCTTGGGAGAATTCTAAGCCCCTAATAGTTTGTGTAAATCCTTCTGGTTTTTGAATTCGTTAAACTACCAAATTTATATATCATCTTCTATAGCCACCTAGGCCCTTGCAAAAAATTCTATGTTCCTAATATAGAATACCTTATCAAAATACCAGCTGAAATAAACCAAGAGCTGGTTCTCTTGCCTAACTCTTTTTCCTTATGGATGATCCTATAGAACTTGTGTACTCAGTCATACCTGTAAGTATAGTGCTGTGACGGGCCCCAAATGATACCATCTTGGCATGCTTGCCCTCCAAACTTGCTGCATCCAATCGCTTTGGTGATGTCTGATGCAGACATGGAAACAACTATAAGTTTCAGGAGCTTCTCCAGTTTCCTTGAAAAATTCTTGAATCCTTTTTCCATACATATTGGTGGAAAGTGGAGTAAGAGGCTTAATCATGATAATAAAAATGAAGAAGAAAGAACAGCTTCAAATTGCAATATAGTCAATAGCTTAATTCATTAGTTGCAGTTGGTGGTCACCTCCTAGGCATAGTATCAGTATGGTCCGATAAAAATGAAAAGGGTACTCATTCTAGCATCTTGCCAATGATGACATGTATACTTCTTGCTTCCCTTATCCCTTGCTGGAGTAGAAGACTAAAGTGAAATAAATAACAGGATTAAAACATACCTCAACCTGCTCAGCATCAGTACCCAACTGTCCAAACTGATTTCCTCCAAAGGTATATACCTGACCATCAACATCTATGCACACAGTATGCCATAGCCCAGCTGCAACTCCTGCTACTTGAATACAAGATAAAGAGGAAATGCAAGTTGGTCTCAGAAGATCCGTTGTACTTCCTTGGCCACACTGGATAAAAGAGGCAGAATATCTTTAGTTTCCCAAGCAAAATGAACAAACTATAATAGTGTATAGCATCGAGGGTTAGCTTGGTCAGAAGGAGGGCGCATATGCGTTAACATATGAGATAAAGTGCCCATAAACATGGCTTTAGTAATTCCCCATATTTCCTGATATATATATATATATATATATAAATATAAACTATAATAGTGTATAGCATCGAGGGTTAGCTTGGTCAGAAGGAGGGTGCATATGCGTTAACATATGAGATAAAGTGCCCATAAACATGGCTTTAGTAATTCCCCATATTTCCTGATATATATATATATATAAGATGGAGGAATTTCAGAAAGTGAACCATTTTACCCATTCATCCCACTGGCCAACAGTGAAAGCAATAGATTCAAATATTCACCTGCTCATATAGCCCCCAACCAAATTTAAGTAGAGCTCCAGCATCTAAAGTTGAAAAAAGTGACAAAGGGGAGTAAGAATGTCAGAACATATCAATGGTATTTAACATATTTATCAAATATCAGGAAAACAAGCCAAGAATGCAACTGACAAACTTTGTAATCAACTTGCAACCAGAATCAACCTAGGGAGATTAACATCAGAGAAATATACGCTAGAATTATCTTGATGAAGGTTATAGCCACTGTTGAACTATAACTGAAAAATCATAGCAAACTAAACCAGTATGTTTAATTTATGAAAAAAAGCCAAAATCCTTTCTAGCGCTATAATAACCGTTCTACCACCAAAGGCAGACTTGTTATTATGGCACTACGCCGACCTCCACAAGCGATTTCCTTCACATTGCTTCTGGCTGCTTTAGAAAGTTGCGTTTGTGAATTCATGCTTCCTTGCTGAACAGCTAGAGACCTATCTTTTCCAGAAGTAGTTTGCTCAATACATGGAATGAGGTGAGGAGAAGACACCATTTTTATTCGGGAACCCAGGCCTAGTTGTCCTTCGCCCCCATAGCCCCAACCCCACACCTGTCCCACATCTGAAACCCCGGTAAAAACATGATGCATCAGGTGTCTTGATTTAGATAAAATATCTTCCATATCTTCATACTTCATAAAACCTACAAAACTATATGGTGTGATGACAATAGGAGACTTCTTCACCTGAAAATGCAACTGTCCAGGCTGAAGACTCAAGATATAGTTTATTTTACCTGACAATACTAAAGTGTGGCGACCGCCAGCAGCGACACTTCTCATCCTTACTCCTGGACCCAGAGTCACAACACAGGGAGACAATGTGAAAAACTCATCTCCAGAAGTTAAGCTTTCTTGTTCTCCTTTTGCCACAGATATTCTTCTTCGCTTTGCCATTTCCTCCCCAGCCTTTCGATTTTCTGTTTGAGAAATTGTTCCACCACTTACATTCAGGCCTCGAGACTTTGGACTCACTATAAGAAATTCAACCTCCATAACATTAGTTTGAAACACAGAAATGGTACAGCATTTGTTATCATTGAGATATATGGGCTTCAATGAAATCACCTTGTTCACTTTGAAAAGTACTCTGTTTTCCAACAATATCCTTTTGAAAGCTCCCTCCAGTAATCAAATCATGGGTGACTTTCACTAAGGGTACACACTCTTTCCAGCCCCATGTGTACACTTCGCCTGTATCTGCATATTGAAAATGTGAAAATCCCATTCAAATTCTGTTTAGATGGAATACAATTTCAATAGAGAAAAAAGAAAAAAAAAAGAACCTGGCATTCAGGCAAAGCCTGCCATGGAGAACATATAACTACCAAGCTATGTTTTAAACAATCTACATAAAGTAGACAAAGAGGCAAGTCCCCTCATCAAGGAGACTATGTGAGCACTAAAGATCTTCCATTCTAACAAATTTTCTGTCAATCGGGAGAATCAACAACTATTTCTATGATATTACCTATATCGCCGAGATGCAGGAACAATGGTCATCAGCATTTCCCACATAACTTTCAGAATCTTCATCTCTCAACCAGTAAACATAACTTGTGTTCTTGTTTTCTTCGTACCTCAAAGAATTTTATTTGCAAATATTTTATATAAGCTAATTGATATTCTAACAATCCAAAGAAAAATAGGAATTAGAAAAAAAAAAAAGAAACCTGTTACTGAAACACAATGAGCCCAGCCAGCAGCTGCCTTCACTATTGAAGCTTCAGTTGGAAGAGGAAATGGCTCTGGTGTTTCCTTCAAAAAAAAAAAAAAAAGGTGCCCCAAAAAAGAATATATTGCAATTTATCAATTCAAACAAAACAAAACCCTTAATCATTTTAACTCAATAAAATAGAGTTTCACTTCATTTACCCCATGCTTCCCTGATGTCAAGTAGCTTTGCCCTTCATCATCTGTTGAACCCCATGTTATCAGCTTCCCACAATCTAACTCTCCAAACACCCAAAACAAAACCAAGTCAGCAATTTTTCAATTAAAGTTCAATCCTTTCTTCATAATTTTTCTTCATTCATCAGAAGTTTGATCTAAATTCCTAGTTGTGAAGTAATTTTGTTTTAATTTCAACTCAAACTCACTTAACTAAAAATTAAATAAAAAACTCGTCCAATCCATAACCCATATTGATTAATCAAAAAATTAACTTGAAAATTAACCAAAAAAATAAAAATTAAATCATCAGCAAATTTGAAAAAAGATTAACCTGAAATGGCCATAGCAAATCCACAACCACCACCACAAACGTCCTTCCACGACGAAGCGCCACCGTGAATCGAAGCCGATAACCGGACGCGAACCGTAGACAATTTATCCGGCAAAGCTCCCGGTAAATATCCCCACATATAAACCGCTGTTTCTTTACATTCCTCCATCTTCACTTCTTCTCTTTCATTTCCATTCATTTAATAAAACAAATTTTAAAGAAACAATTCAACCTATCTATAGTTCGTTTTCAATTTTCCAGAAAAAAAATTTTGATTCGTTTTGTTTTCCAAAGAGAGAAAAAGAGGTGAACTAAGAGAATCTTAATTTTAATTAAGAGGAGCCGTATCATTTACAGAGAAGTAACGTATGCCACGTCGGATGACACGTGACATAATGAGCACCGCGTGTATGGATTATTCATTTTGCGCCACGAGTTCCCCGGCAGGAAGCTAAGAGAGATAATTCTTTGACCTTTCCTCCTTTTCGAAGAAGCTTGTCTGGTTGTTCGCCACGTGGTGTGCCAAACCTTAAAAATAAGTGTAATTATTATTATTTTAATCTCGGAGTGATTGAGATTAGGTTTTAACCATAGTTTAATATTGTTTCTATGTTGGTTTGGAATCCAACGCTCGTCATGTGGGGGTTACGTGTCGCTATCTTGTTCGTTTGTTTTTTGGCATTTTCTTATGATGGAGGGACATGGCAGCTCCCACGATGTCAGAAACTCATTGTTGACCTAAAATTGTTTGTTTGTTTGTTTTTTTTTTTTTTTTGTAGTCTTTTCCTTAATTTAATGGCTGATGATGACAAAAGTAACCAACCGTTATGCGGTAACATGCCTAATTTCACCCATCCATCTAGATAATGCAAAAATTTAAACAAGTTTTTCAATTTTCGCCGGTACAAAAATAAACGGAAATTGAAGATAGATTGATGCATCATTAAATTTAATTATAATTTATTATTTTTAAATGTTTCAAAATTAAAACATTTGAAATTAGTTTTTTTAAATAAAAAAATATATTAATTATTAAATCAAATACTCAAACCTAAATTTCCATGTTATTTTAGACAGTTTCTTTCAATTAGTACACAAGTTAATCATGATATCATTGATTTATTAGCATATCATTGTCATTGGTAAGATTGTTATCTATATTAGCAGCCGTAATTAGTAAAAAGTGGTCGGTTAATGTGATAAGCTAGCCACTTCTCCTTTACAGTTAGTGGTTTTTTCTTTTTTTTTGGCCAATGAGAGAAACTTGGAGCTAGTGGTTTAATGTTGAAAGCTAAAGAAAGTGGTTTTACACTTACACATTTTGAAAATTTTGGATTTTAGAAGCTTTTGTGTTAATTAATATCTGATACTGTGATTATTGACTTCTTGTCTTTTGACTTATTTGTTCAATACATTAATTTTGTTGCACAGTTGATTGAATATATTAAAACCTTGTCAGTTACATGATTCACTTCAACACAACATTAAAAACAGCATTCAGGCATACATCTCTGCCCCTAGGTTACATTGTTGAAGCAGAATGCTACCCCAGGAAACCAAAATATCATATCAGACTTAATTTTTTTTGTTTTTCATGTGAAGATTTCCGTTTACATATTGGACTAATATAGTTGCTTCAAAGCTACTTGTCGGTATCGAGCAGTCTTGATGAGAGTAAAAATCTAAAATCATACGAGGGTAGTTAATAACAAAAGCCGAAGGTTTTTTTTTTTTTTTTAACATTTATGCACCAATATTTAAGCTAATGCTCGAGAAGAAAGAAGAGTAAGGAAAAACCTAAAATTACAAATATTTAGAATTCCCATAACAGTACTTCAAAGGAATTATTTATATTTGTACGATGAAGATGCCATGCCTAGATGGCATGAGCTTTGAATGGTAAGATTAGGATTAATATTGTTGGCTCGATCTGAGTTAATAGTCAACAATTCAATTATGAGATAATAAGTCAGCATTCTCACATGTCATTTGGTGGTCAGTAAAAGTGGTCAAGTTGACATTGGTTTTGAAATTTCAAGTTGGCTTAACGTGTAAGCTTAAGTCAAAAAGATTGTGTCATAATGTGTACAATCCTAAAACTAACCCATTAAACATGAAATATGGAGTCGTTACTAATTTTTTTTTTTTATCAAGGTATGATTTATTCTTTCTAAGGTTATCTTAAACTTAACTAAGAGTTCCTAAAAAAAATAAGTTATGATCTTCTAAACAGAACTAAGTTCAAGAGTTCGGTTACATAAAAAAAAAGTTATAACACTCTTATAATGTCCATCTTAAAATTGTACTAATTAATCTCAAATTATTTTTTAGTCTTAATTCACTGGTCCTAACTTATTCATATTATTTAATTTGTGTTTTTGTTAATTTAAATATTTTCATATTGGACATAGTTTTAGGTTTTCTCCATCACTTCGGTCGATCCTCTAAAAGAATTCTTCACCTCAAGAGTATTTAAGTAATATGCATGTTTTCTTGAAGAGATTCCGTGATCAGATTTATTAAATATTTTATGAAAAAATATACATAGTAAAATACATGGCCAAATTCATAAAATACAATAACCATGATTGCAATTTAATCAATCATAAAATCATCACAATTTATTCTCAATTTTAATTTTTTCAAATAGAAATAAATAAAATTTCTTATATTGAGATAAATTTTTAAATCCTCTAATGCTTTAATCGAATTTAAAAAAAGTCTCTTCACCTAAAAATTTTTAAGAAAATTACATGCCTGTAACTTTATTAAAATTTTATCATTGGATAAACTTTTATTTATCTATAATTATTTTATTTTATTCTACAAATTAAAAATTTTATTAATAGTAAATAATTTAATCAACATAAATTAATCAATATATAAGTAAAAGAAAAAAAACAATAAAATTAATTTAAATAAAATCAAAATGAAAAATCAAAGCAAATTGGAAAAGAGAAATTATGTGAACAGGTCGGATCTTACCTTGGATCGGTCTACGGGTTCAATGGGTCAGGTGACGGGTGCAAAGAATTCTTTTAAACCAAAATGATGTTGTTTATGTGAGGTGTAAAAGGCCAAAATTTTTGTTTCCCTTCACTTTTTTTGCTTTGGCTTTCTCTTTCTAGAAAATTTTCCTCTGACTTCTCTTTGGAGTTATTTGAATGCCGACCAGAAACTTCAAGCTAACCTAGATCATAGTGAAAAAATGTTGATTTCGGCAAGAAGTCGCCAGGAAATTGATCAAAAAATTCAAACAACCTAGAAAATTTCTAGATTTTTCTAGAAAACCTAAAAGAAAAAAAACCAAAAATTGAACTTTTCTTTTTGTTTTTTTTTTTTTTTCAAATCTAAACCCTCATAATTCCTAATTAAACCTATAATTTAACCAACAAATTTTCTTTAAAAAATTAATAAAAAAAAATATTGCTAGAAATTCCCCATGATTTTTGCTTGCCTTTTTAGCAACTTTCGTGCTGACTATTTTTTTTCTTCTTGCTTGATCATTTTTTATTAACTTAATGGGGTATTTTATAGACCTGTAATCTCAATTACAATAGGAAAAAAAGTTTTGAATCTTATAATCAAATTCACCTTTGGATTTTTAATTTAAATCTACCTATTAAATCAACTCTTTTTTTCAATTATAATATTATAGTTCAAACCAAATCAAACTATTCTTTTTTTTTAATTAAAAAAAAAACAAGCCAAATCCTATAAAAGTTACCTTAGACAAAATGAGGTGTCTACAGTTGCCTATCTTTGCACATTTTCTGTGAAACAAGAATTGTGCAAAGATATACTCGATGTTTTTTTTTTCTTTTTTCTTTTTTGAAAAGACTATTTTAAACAAAAACTTAGACTCTTTGAGCAACATAAAAAGCTTTTCTAAACAGATGTTCAATAACTTAAAAAAATATAAAAGGCTCCTTTAAACAGAGACTCAATAACTTTGAAAAATATAAAATGCTCCTTTAAACAAAAGCTTATCAACTTTTAAAATTTAAACATTTTATCCGGAGGACTTATGAATCTTACTCAGAGGACTTAGAAACTATGCCCAGAGGTTTTACAAATTTTAACTAAAAAATGCTTATATAAACAAATGATCCATAACTTTAAAAATATAAAAGAGATTCTTATCTGATGGAGATCAAGTGTTCATTCAAATATTCCAATCGAAGATTTGAGATTCTCACCAAAAGGTTATCAAGATTTGCATAAATCTTCAAGTTTTGCATTAAGGATTCAAAGGTTCACATTTAAAAATTTTGGAGATTCACATCTAAGATTAAAAAATTCTTATCTTATGACGAAAAAAGCTCCTTTAAGCAGAGGTTATGAAATTTTAAAACTGAAAAAGCTCTTTAACCAAGGCTTATCGACTTTTTTTAAAATTATTTTTTTCATCCAAAGGTTTCAAACTTTATCTTCACTAAATTTTCTCGTACGAGAATCAAAATCTCATCAAAAAATCTTATTTTTGCAAAAATATTTCCTTAATGTAAGATTTCTACCTTACTTGTTTTGTCAAAAATTTTCCTTATCAAGAATCAAATTCTTATCTCTGAAACGCAAGGGTGTTCATTCAGTCAATTTGGTTAATTTCGAACTGAATTATTCAAAACTGAATTAATTGAATTACATTATTTTATTTTAGTTAACTGAATCAAATTTATGAATTTCAAAAATTAATCGACTGAATTTAATTCGGTTGGTTTGGTTAATTTTTTCGGTTAATCTAATAATAAATGCATTTAAGTTAAATCATATTTTAAACTCTTAATTTCTCATATTTTAAACAAACTAAAGAAAATTATTCAATAAAATATTCAAATACTAAAGTATTATGTTAAAAATTCTAACAAGTTATAAATTTAAGTGATCCATTTAATGTATTTTTCATTTTATATTTGGATTATGTTATAGTTCGGTTAAAATTTTGATTAATTCAATTTTAAAACCAAATTAACCAAAAACTAAAATTTTTCTAAAATTATTTTCGTTAATCGATTGAAATTAATTTGATAGTCGATTGATTAATCGAATTAAATCAATTCGGTTGATTAATTCGATTAAAAATGAAATTATGAACATCCCATTGATAAAGTTGAGCAGGCTTAGAGTTTTGAGTAGGTAAAAGGGTTTGGTCAATGTGACAAGGAAAATGAAGATGAAAAGAGAGCAAAAGGTTTCAACAATGATGAAGACTCCTTGTTTCTTTATTAACATTTAGTCTCTTAAACATAATCCTAAAAGATATGATGAAAAGCTTCAAAGATTAAGCTAATTTTAAGGACTGCCTTAACCTC